TGGACGAGACACTAAAGCCTTGGTCGGGTACCTGCATGTACTTTCCGCGGCCCGGCAAAGGAAAGACACAGATGCAGGGCTTGGGTGCTGGAACCCTATAGGGTTTAGGGTTTAGGGTTTCGGGTTTAGAGTTAAGGGTTTAGGGAGGGTCCCTAAACCCTAAACCCTAAGGCAGAAGCCACTTTTAAGTGGGACCTTGGAGTTAGAGTTTGGGATGAGGGTACAAGCAGAGAGCCGCGCCCAGTGTTCTCGGATGCTTAGCGACAAAAAGCGGGGTGCTTGAGGTTTTTTTCGGGTTTAGGGTTCAGGGTTGTTGTTGCGTGAGCCCAGATTGAAGCCCTAACCCGCATCCCAAGACCCTTTTCTCAAGGCTGGGGCTTCTGATTGATCTGCGAACTGAGCGCTGCGCCCTGGCTACCTGCGCGGAGATCTGGGATACCGGGGTGTTGTTCTAGATTTGCCTTGGAGGTTCATGGGTACTTCTGAGTCGGGTTATAAGTACCCCAAGTAAGGTTGCAACCATAGTTTCCCTGCTTGTAAGTACCCATGAACCTCCAAGTAGGGCTCCTCCTGGCCGTTCATTATTTTTAATCAGTTTGCCCCCAAAAGCAATTACTTGGAACAACCCGAACATCGAGCTTGAGGGCATCTTCACCCCTCTTACATGCCTCATAACCCACACCCCGCCCCTATTCCCCCAATGGTCTGGGGGAAGGGAAGGGGACTGCATCTGCTAGTTGAGGAGGGTTTTGGGTTGAAGGTGCTTTGGTTTTTCACTGCTTGGATGCTATCAGGAGGGCCGGCCTCTTGCAGAAGAAGCCCTGGTGTTCTCTGAGTTTTTTGTAGTTTTCTTGAGTGGGGGCTTAATTGAGATTGAGCTCCGCTCTTTCTGATGTGTGTGCGGCGAGGGTTATGAATGGTAGGTCAGCATTATGGACCTCCAATTGAAGTTTCGGGGGTCCTCACGTTCTGCAGGCATACTTTCTGCTTATTCATGTGTATAGTTCCCACCTGAATTTCAGATTGATTGCGACTAAAACAGTACTAAAGGACAATGTGGATCACCGTTGTTCTTTTTATGACTCTTGCTACTGCAGCTTGCCTGTCTGGGCTGCTAGTACCATCCCTTTCATCCTCTCAGCGACAAACCCATCTGCGCACACTCAAGCATGCAGATTTACAGTTCCAACCGTTGGAGCTGCCAAAGATCAAGCCCCAGGTCCTCCTAGCTAGCCAGAGCTCACCCTAAGCCCTATCAACCCAAGCCCTAAACCCCAAACCTATCTTGCATCGCCCTAAACCGTGGAAACCATCCCCAAAGAGCCCAAGATCCCTTAATTAAGGAAAAACCTTAAATCATAGTAAGGAGCCCTACATCATTTAAGGAATTTGAATATTCCTTAATCAAGGAATATTGGGCTCTTTGGGTCGACAAGGCATCCAGGCGTTTAGACCGTTGATGCAGAGCCCCTGGATCACCAAAGTGCATCTTGGACGAGCCGGGTGCGACATCAGCTAAGCTCGTTTGAGCAGAATTCTTAAAGTGTAAGGGTGTGTGTGTGTGTATGTCTCTAAACACCATAAACCCTAAACCCCACACCCCATGTGCGTGTGTGGGTGTGAGTGGAAGGTTTGGGGATCTGGTTATTGGGAGGCTGATCCGGTCTTGTCTTGATCACCCACATGAACAACCTGATGCCAATGCTCACTGGCTGCAGGCCAAACCCGAAACCCTAAACCCTAAACCCTAAACCCTTGGTCTTGGGTGGTTGAAGCTCTCAGACTCAGAACCTCCGGTAAGGTTTAGGGTTTAGGGGTTCGGGAAGATGGCCTCAGATATTTGGAGTTTACGAACATGGCTGGCATGCAAGGACGAGTACACTACTGCCCGCGCGTTGCAACAGCCCCGTGGTGTCCCTTCAAGCTCCATCCATCATGAAGCCCCTCTCTTGCGCACTTTCTTTTTCAGGGGTACCTGAAAAGCGCCAATCAGTGGAGCCGAACACCCCTCGTGTTTGTCGTCTTTGTCCTGCGATTCTTGGTGGGTCCGAGGATGTGGGGAGCAGATGCAGACTTTGAAAGCCTAGTGCATCAGGACGGGGAAGCCAGCAAGGGTCGAACAGCTCTAGGACCTAGGACTTGTGGGTCAAAGTCGTGGGTCCATTGCACACGTGGTATGGAGACAGTTTCGGTTGGCTGTTCATGTGTTCTGGGCCCTTCTATGGTCCCTACAAGCATTACATGTCCTGTTCTTTGAGTTGTGATATGTCAAAACCCTCATAATGCTCCAATCCCTCCCTCTGCAGGGCGAGAGCCAGTCCCCCGTGGCCAGCCTATTTAAACCCTAAACCCTAAACCCTTGTGGACAAACAGCAAGTGCCGTACAGTACGAGTTATCGCTTCTTGTCGTGCTAGCTCTCGCTCGACCTCGATCACCGAGAACCATTCTTCCAGGGCTGAGGGCTGAGTCTTCTAGGTTTAGGGCTTAGGGTTTAGGGTTTTGGGGCGTTTCGGCTTAGAGGAAGTTTTGAATGGGACCGGTCCTCGATGTAGCCTGAGCAGGAGATACCCATCTCTCTCAAGATCGATCCGCAGGCTCTTGGGCCAGGGTTTAGGATTTAGGGTTTAGGGTTTAGGGTTTAGGGTTTAGGGGTTGAACAATTTCTCAAGAGTTGGCCGCGTGTGGGTGCAATGTGGGACCTGTACCTGCAAAACTTGGGGACATGGCTCTGGCTTTGCCTGCTTCCGACTACTTTGCGAAAGGGGTAGACGGTAGACTTGTGTTTCTTTGCAGGTCGGAAACCCATCCTGATAGTTTGATTAACTTCACAGCCTTTCCGAGCGCATGTTCTCTTAGAGCTACTGATTCTGCGGTTGCAAGATCTGCCCACTGGGAGCTGTGGGAGCGCTGTGAAGCCCCGTGCGCCGACAGAATCGAGGCCGTCATCGACATCCAGCTGGCGTATTCTACTGGCGAACGCCGTTTGGGCATGGCCCGGATGCTCGAGAGAGTGCCAGGGGCTGAGTGACGCCGGTGGATCAGATGGGCCTCGGTATTTGTAAGAGTCTTTCGCGAATTGAGGGGTGCAGGAACTCGGGTGCTTCGGCGAGGCCCACATCATCGAACCACACCACCCTGCACCAGAAATGTACGGCTCTTGGTGTAAAAGCTGGACCACATCTTGGCCACCCAGCATGACAGACAAACAAAGCATGTTACTCGTACACACTCCAGAAAGTAGTGCGTAGAGTTGGCTATGGCTGCTTTGGGGTATTCCCGTGTTTGTCCGGAGATCTTCAAATCAAAAGTCGTTTTTTTTCTCCTTTTTCCTGAAGCTCCGGCATTGGATCAAACCGCTCTCGCACACGTTCGCACAAAGCTCTCGGTGTCCCAAAGCTTTTCGAAAAGAGCCCAATATCCCTTAATTACGGGAAAAACCCTCAATCATATTCAGGATCCCTATATAATTCAAGGGTCTATTCCTTAATTGAGGGGGAAAAAGGGCTCTCTGGGTTCGGCCGCAAGCCAGGCCGGCCGACCTGCTTGTGGACCTACCAAGCAAGTCCCAGTGACTTTGCCTGCAAGTGTTTGCAAGTGCCGGAATGGGCTATAAGGCCTTATGAGTCCCATAGAATCTACCCAGAAAAAGGGCCTTCTTTAGGGGTTATAGGGCTCCTGGTGGCCCCGTGACCTTAGAGCCCTGAACCGGAATGGTTTGCGGCTCAATGCCGCGATATTGTGGAATCTTGGCCTCGTCGCAACTTCAGGCAGATGGGGTGCGATTACAGATGGGTGTAAACGTGTAAAGTAGAAAAATCCAACCTGAACAGAACCGGCCGTGCCTCCGATAGCTTCAAAAAACACCTACAAAATTGAAGGCGTGCCAATCGTTCAGAACGATCCGAAACATACCCAGCGTCCACCCTCCCAGGATTGACTGGCACGCTCATCACTCGCGCAATCAGCGCGCTCTGCACTTGCCACTATCCTGTATGGAGGTGCCTTGGCCGCCATGTTTCACATTTGTAGAAACAACCAGATCGTGAGGAGTCCGAGAGGCACCGTTGACAACCGTGGAGGTGGTCACATTGTTCGGGCTTGCCGATGATACACGCGCTGAAAGCTGACCCGCGTTTGCTGCATTGTGCCTCTTGTTTTGCCGATGACTACAAAAATCTGAAAGCTGTCCCGGCGGCCGCATCGTTTTCAGCTTTTACAGTCGGACGCCAGCTGGGACAGTACTACCTGAGCACCATGTCGACTTAACAATGGCAGCCGTTTCACGTACTTCCATGCGATCTTCTTGGTCGAACATGAATGACCTTGAGTGCAAAGCTGAGGCTACGTATGCCATGGATGACCTGCATCGCATTGAGGCGGGCGGACTCTCCCTCCCCCTGGCAGCCCGACTTAAAAGTGAGGCTTCCGTAGCCACCGTTAAATCAGCATCCGGGAACGAGGTATGTGGCATGACCCTCATCTCATGTACAGTGTTTGTCACTCTCAGAAACACTTTGTTTATCTTCACGCGCCGTCCGGGCTCAAATTTTCGAGAGTAAAAACCCTTCCTGCGCCTTGGAGGTTGTCATCCGCACCCCAACCCTAAACCCCTAATAACCCCTAATAACCCCTAATAAACCCTAATAACCCCTAATATCCCCTAATAGCCCCTAAACCCCTAAACCCTAAACCCTCCTGCAACAGCCAAGCCCTGTAATAATCCTTTCGACGCTGACGACGTGCAACCATGAAGCCATGAAGCCATGAGACCCCTCCGTGCACCCCTAAACCGTAAACTCCGTGAACCTTTGTGAGCATCGTGACCGACCCCAAGATTACCAAATATCGATATAATTACATAATATATACATACATACATATACATATATATCTTTATGTTATTCTGTATTTACATACATATGTATACATTTCACACACATATATATATATAGAAGTTTAGTCAACAAATAGCACATGTAAACATACAAACCAAGCTGCCATGGTGGTCATTCCGCCAGCGCCGCATCCGCCGGACGTGGACTGGAACTGGAGACTGGGGAAAGTGGCTTCTTGGATGTCCCCTTAGTCTCATTTTAGGGTTTAGGGTTTAGGGTTCAGGGTTCAGGGTTTAGGGTTTAGGGTTTTAGGCTGCGGACGGAACGCTCAGCCATTCGCATCAAAATGAATGTGGGCGACGATGAGCCATTGCCCATTGCATAACCACTCAACACAACATCTGCTACATTCTCGCAGAAAGAAGTACACGCAAGTTGTCGCGCAGGTGCACCCCCCATCCTGCAACTCTAGAGGGGGCGTCCGATGTCCAAGACAAGTTTTGTTTGCAGTATGCAAAATGAGGCTGCAAGAATGCAACTGTTGCCAGGTTCTGGGTTGGCTTCAGTCAAAGCCATGCAGCACTCAACTTAGCTAAGCTTAAAGTATTGCAGCGAGCCCCATGAAGTGTAGCTCAGGCGATTCGAGGTCTGCGAGCAACATTTGAACAGGTTGAAGACACAAGCAGCAGATTCAGCAAAGGAGCTGGATCCTAGATGCCTGTTTATACCTGCCAAGCCTTCAAGTATGTAGCGGTGTCGTGTTTGGACCTGCTAAACCTTTAAGTACGTAGCGGTGCTTCGTTTCTAGGTGACATGAAGTGGATTAAAGTGCTCGGCACTCACCATTTTAAGAAGCTTGAATGCAAGTTTCTGCTGTGTTTCGTTCAAGCTTCGTTCAGTTCTGATCTTTCTGTTTCGGTTGCTCTTGAGTTGTTCTCACAGCTAGCTGCATCTCAATTCGCCTTCCAGGATATGGCAAAAGGGCTCCGGCACATCAAAGCTCGGAACTCCCCCTGTGAACAGACTCAATCCTAGGTAGGATAAGGGGGACCCTTGAAAGGGAACCCTTCTTAACCCTCTTCTGGCTCTCGTAAAGAGGGACCTTATTCAGAGGGTCTTTTCCCCCAAGGGTCCCTATAAACCTATCCCCTACTCAAAGCAGCTGTGAATATTCCCGAGGCCAAGGAGAGACATGTGGAGAGAGGGGCCGGCCTGCGAGTGCCCCCGGAGCCTTGACTCCTGTGGGAGAGTAGGTGATTTCAGCTTTTTGTCTAGTAGTAGAGTAGGTGACCTTTAACCTTTTTGGGGTGTAGTATAATCCCCTTATAATCCCAAAGGTTCAACTGAGTATTTTTCTCGGAGGCGAATGGGCGGTTTTTGGGATTTTGGGATCGGGGTCCTGGCTTTGGGGCTAGGTTGGCAGGAGGAGAAGGCAGGGTTCAGAGATGTGTCACTAGGATCTGCAGCCTGAGGAGAAGGGGCCCACTCCCGATGGCAAGATTTTGTCGTCCGACTTTCCGAAATCGGAGAGCTGGGACGTTCCAGAAAGAGCCCGGGTCCCGCTTTTCCGATCTCGCTGCTGCATCCTTGGCCTGATATTAGTGGAAATTCTCCGACTCTTGGCTGCAAAGGTTTTCCCGAGCCCTGGTGGCTTGGAGCTGACCGCCCAGATCCTGACATCGGCGGCAAACTGCCTGGTGTCCATGGGTTCCCTTCCAGTGTTTGCTACCCACAGCTTGGGTGCCTGTGTGAATCGGCGCTGTCTGGGCTCTCTCCTAACCCTGATTCTGACCTCTGCAACGTGCACGTGGGGCGCCCTGGTCATTGACATCTTCCCAGGAGGGGGGTGGCAGCGCATCTCACAGGCTCCGCTGCTGGATGAGGGTGCTCCTAGCATCCTTGGATTCCTGGGAGTGTGGGAGTGTCTGCTGTTGGCGTCGCTGTCCTTGCAAACAGCCTTGTGCATCTCCGCATGGACGTTTTACCGCATCTTCCGCGAGCTGGGGCTGTATCCCCCAGGGCCACGGAAAGGCCGAATCCATTCCGAGGTATCCGCGCTCGAGTTTGTTTGTGAAGCAGAGGACGTGGCTTTGCTCAGCGATCAGTGCAATGGCAACTGTCAGAGGGAGCCCATTCCATGGGAGGGGACTTGCCCGGAGGCCGTGTTTGCTATGGCCGTGGCGGCCGAAGCGCCCATGCCAGACCCTGTTCCACCCCGGGGCTTTTGCCGATCCGGCTTGAACGAAGATGATGTCCGGTATCCATCCACTTAGCCGAACAAGAATGCCCATCGTCCCACAGCCTGGGCATCGGGAAAGATGGGCTGCAGAAGCTATTGCTCTTTGACCGACGGCTTCTTCCCTCGGTCTGTGAGTTTCTAGCTGTTTCACCGAGTTGTCACGGCTTTCTGTGCCAAAGAGTCGAAAGCGTGACATCCTCTTTGTGCTTAGCTGTCATTTGCAGTGTATGGAGCTTCCTCTAACAGGTGGAGGGCTTCGATCCACTGCTGGACGTTGTGCGCAACCTGGGGACACTCCAAGCTAAAGGCAGCATGAAGCGAACCCGAGCGATGCATCAACAATTCCCCCCTCCTCCTCCTTATGCATCCCATCAGAACCCCCCCCCCCCCCTCAACCCCACAGGTAAAAGTCTTGAGCCCTGCCAGTGCTCCGAGGCCGCGTCAGCCAAAATCTCAGAAGCCGCACTAAGTAGCCTTTGTGGTATTCTCCAAAAAAGCAAAGAAAAAGGTTGACATTGATAATGGTTCCACTTTGGTTCCATGAACCCTGGTTCCAGGAAAGCCTCAACCGAAGCCCTAAACCCTAAACCCTTAACCCTAAACCCTAAACCCCTAAACCCCTAAACCCCTAACTAAACCCCTAAACCCCTAAACCCTAAACCTAAACCCCATTCTTCCCCCCTAAGCCGCAGGCCATCTTGGCCACCCAGCCGCCTCCAGGGGGCTCCTATCAGGTGGCCCAGTGGTGCCCTTTTGCCGTGTAGGGTTTAGGGTTTAGGGTTTAGGGTTTAGGGTTTTAGGGTTTTAGGGTTTTAGGGTTTTAGGGTTTTAGGGTTTTAGGGTTTTAGGGTTTTAGGGTTTTAGGGTTTTAGGGTTTTAGGGTTTTAGGGTTTTAGGGTTTTAGGGTTTTAGGGTTTTTTGACGGATTCCCGAGTCTGCGAGAGAGAGAGAGAGAGAGAGGGTTTTAGGGTTTTAGGGTTTGGGGTTTGGGGTTTCGGGTTTAGGGTTTGTAGTTTATCGGGTTCAGGGTTAAACTGGGGGATCAAGATTCCCTCATAAAGTATACCAACCCCTAAAAAGGGTGCCCTTATCATAATGTGGTTGCTGGGCTATCAAGTTTAAGGGTTTTTTTTTGCGTTGTTCGTTGTTCATTCTAGAGGGATTTCGAGTAGTGGGTTTACAGGGCTTGGGGTCTAAAGCTTAGGGTTTCAAGTCCAGCTTCCAAACGCTTGGTTCATCAACAGGGTTTTGACCCAAAGAGCCCAACATTGCTTAATTAAGGAATATTCCTGAAATCTTATAGGGATCCTTAATATGATTTAAGGTATATTCCTTAATTAAGCAATATTGGGCTCTTTGGGGAGGGCTGAGGAAATGTCGCATCGTGAGAGTTGGCATGCTGGGATCCCCGCCTGCAGCCGGCAGAGCTTTACCTCGCTTTTCTCTGCCGCTGTCCTGTTCTGGCTGAAGACGCAAGACCCGAAACCCTAAACCCTAAACCCTAAATGTTAAGGGCTTAGAGCGAGTTCCGGCTTGGGGCCGCTGGGGGCTTCAGATTTCCAGCATGACTGGTTTGTCGAGTCGAGTTAGGGGGAACGCCCAAGACACAGCGCTCTACCCACACCCCAAATACGCAAACCCTTCAGGCCTTGGGGTTTCGGCAGCGGGTCTGACTGGGGCAAGTGTCCTGCAAGCCCCTTCATGAGCAGCCAGAGCAAAAGCCGGCGATCTGAAGCTTACCAACCTCCAAAACCTCGGGCCTCTGGTAGGCGGCAAGACGAAGCAGCACCGAGATCTTGGCCCAGGTGAAGGAGCGCTTCTTCTGAGCAAATCCTGAAAAGGTTCAGGCTGAAAATCGTCCATGTTCTATGCCAGAAGATCGGGTGCACCGGGCTAGTCTTATATGCCGCTGCGACATGCGGATCATTGTCAGACACTGTTCGACCAGCATGCCGCATACCCAGCTGGACTCACAATGTCTTTAGGGGTGTTTTTTTCGCGAATGCAAGCAGTCCTTGTCAGAAGCTCGCGTCAGTTGTTGGTCTTGAGTAAGACTGCCGCCGACACTCTGCTGGAAGGAAGATCCTTGTGGCTGGAGATCGATGGAGCGCAATGAGAGTTCTTTGCTCAGACCCTTTTCGTTGGGATGTCAAGCATTCGTTGGCCGATATTGCAAGTACATGTCAACCCTCTTGTGTTTGTTTCACCCCTTCGGCACTGCTCCATAGCCTCCTTCCGATGGTACACTCAAATCTTATACTGACTATTAAACTAGTTACGGACGGGGAGTATATAATGGTCGTCCGTGCCCTTGCAAGACAAAAGTTGCTACAATGGCCTGCCATGAGTAGGCAAGGAGTGCGACTACTTTCCGAGAGCAACCTTGGTGAACGATTTTAACGCATTGTTTGACCCGACCCGTACTCACAGTGGCAACGAGCCCTGATGGAATGATCCAGTTCAAACCTCGGGCAATACATATGTATATATGTATATAAGTATGTAACTACACATATGTATGTATATGTATACGTGTACAATATGTGTATAGTTCAGGGTCACAGAGCCTCCGAGCCAATGTCGAGGACACCGATGCGGTATCAGTGACCTACTGCTTGTCGTGCATACCGGTTCTTGCATCAAGTCTCTAGCCGTAAACATCATAGCGAAAAGATGCGAAAAGTAATTAGCGACAAGATAAGATAACAATCGTAGTCGCAATAGTGGAAATCGTAACAGCAATAGTAGCAGTACTCCGATTAGTCCTCAGTCATCGCAGTAGGAACAGCAACAGCAACCACAATAACACTAGTATTGCAGAGACGGCACTCCTCTCCAGCCAAACATCAGAAGCCACTCCCTGACAGGCTACTACCACCGCGCCATCGGCGCCAGAAAGCTCTCATGCCTAGCCACTCGCCTTCGGATCTTCGGGTTTAGGGTTTAGGGTTTAGGGCTTAGGGTTCAGGGTTGTCAGGGTCTGGTCAAGAACTGTCTCCCTTCGTTCCGGCTACCTCCCACCAGGCCCAGGTTGCGGCATGCCGCGGTCTCGGAGTAGGCTGACTTCTCACTCCCCCGACGGGTTTGTCCGAGTCATCCGAGTTGTAAGTGCGAGCCCATGGCCCCATGGCAGCTGAAAGTGATTAAATTGCTCTGAGGTCCGCCTGGTCAGGCACAGCCTAGCTCTGCGAGAGCGTGAGAAGCATGGGCTGGCACTCGGTGACAAGAAGGACCTTGGGCCTAGCTGTGGTTCGGCCTCGACCTGCTTGCAAACGTAGCAACGACCCCTGGTTTCAAATGGCATCAAACGAGAGGAGGTCTTTGCAAGTGGCCCCCTGCACACCAATTCATGTTCACCCGGGCCCAGATGTTAGGCTTCCGCTGTTCTCGATCCGAATGGCTCGAAAGACCCTGCCCAAGCAATGCTCAGAATGCCAACCCGAAGCGACAAGCACCAAACAAGAACCCCACAACCCATCTGCACCCTAAACCCTAAACCGAAAAGCGACCGAGGGCCCCAGGCACGGTCACTAGGGGTAGGCACGTTGTAATTTGATTGTGCTGCTCAGCGTCAAAGCTGGTCCATCTTTCAGATGCCCTCTTGCCTCAATAGACAGCAAGCAGCCTTCTTGCTCTTCAGCTGGAGCCACGAGATACATGAGCGCATCCACGACTAGGACCGAGAGTAGGCCCTTATTCCCTTTTGTAGGGTACAGGTTCCCTTCTAGGCTCCTTTTGCACCACAAAAGGGTACCCTTTTGATTTTACTCCTAGGTTACTGTCAGGTCTGGACGAAGGTACAGGTCAAGCTGGAGCATGCACCCAAAGAGCCCAATATTGCTTAATTAAGGAATATTCCTTAAATCATACAGGGATCCTTAATATGATGTAAGGAATATTCCTTAATTAAGCAATATTGGGCTCTTTGGGCAACAGGGTGAAGACATCCATGGCTGGCAACTCCGTCAGTTTCCTCCGGTCAAGAGCGGAACACCCAACTTCTTTGCCAAGAGAGCCCTGTACCCTAAACCCGCACCCTGTGAAGTGGACTGTCGTTCAGCTAGGCGGGAGGCAAAAAAACACCTAAAAACCCCAAAACCCTAAACCGTAAACCCTTGGAAACAGGAGTGGGTCGCGCAGATCGAGGCTTGGGCAGCTTCCGAGCTGGCAAAGGAAGGCGCTTCGGACGTAAGGTGTACCAGAAAGCCCTTTAATTATGCCCCTCAATTAAGGAATATACTCTAAATTTTTATAGGGACCCTTAATATGATTTGAGGTTTATTGCTTAATCAAGGGGTGTTGGGCTCTTTGGGTAAGGTTTCTAGGCAAAAGCCTGACGCAAAGGGCGGCTTAAGGGTTTAAGGTTTAGGAGTATAGAGTTTAAGGTTTTAGGGTTTATCGGGTTTCGGGTGTAAGGGTTTAACGTTTTGGGGCTGAAGCAGCCCAAGCAGCCCATGGTTGAGGTTTGGGTGCTTTTGGAGTATTGTGGCTTGGAAGTTTGGGGGGGGGGGGGGGGATTTCTGGGAAGTCGCCTCTAAACGCTAGCCCTAAACCCTAAACCCAAGGCCCTTGCAGGGATGAAGTTTTCAGCTGGGGAGTGCGTGTGGTTTCAGATTCAGGGAGTGACTTGATTCACATACTTGGAGGTCAGCTCTATATTTTTTTATGGCATGTTCGGTCACATTGTTTCAATGGCAGGGATATGGGAAGACAATGAAGGACAGACAGCTACTGAGACAACCGTTGCGCCAACAAAAGTGCCTACATTAATTTGGGCCAGCTTCTTATTTTGTAGTGAGGGTTTGTTCTAGTCATTTTCTCCTTTACTTTCATGATCAGCACTTATTGAAGCAAGGTCTTAATCGCTGTCTTGGACCGGCCCGCCCCAAGTGTCAAACTCACAACTCAAAGTCCTTGACACACATAATGAGATTAAGCAGGGGCTCAGCCCCAAACCTCCCTTAATGTTGCGCGTGATGCATGTCTTGCTTTGTGGGAATGGGGAAAAAGCAGAGGTTGAACTTGTGTAAAAAC